CTTTGGGGGAATTTCCAAGATCTCAAAGAGAAACCGATCATCATTGAGGACACAATTAGAGAAGAATCATCAATTCATAAAGGGTCGAAAGCAAAGTCACTCTAGAAAGGCACATTTAGGAAATGTCTGAATGAGGAATTAGTAAAAGTCTTAACATAGGGAGAAGAGGATGAATATGGAGAGAGAAGTGAGTCAAAGAGACATATCATGATTATACCTGGATTTATATTATTTTATTTTTTAAAAGATTTTATTTATTTTTAGAGGGGGGAAGAGAAGGAGAAAGAGAGAAAGAGAAACATCAATGTGCGGTTACTTCTCATGTGCCCGCCTACGGGGACCTGACCTGCAACCCAGGCATGTGCCCTCGACTGAAAATCAAACTGGTGATCCTTTGGTTTGCAAGCCCATGCTCAATCCACTGAGCTATTCCAGCCAGGGCTATACCTGGATTTAGATCTTTAGAATAAGATTAGCTGTTACTAAACTAATAATTATTTTAAATGCATTATTCTCTTAAATTACATAGACAAGAAAATGGAGAGTTACAAATAAGTTACCATAATACTAGTTTTCAGGCCAATAATTGTGTTTTTAAAAATGTATTTGTCACTTAAATCATATAGGAAACAAAAAAGTGAAATTATAAGTTATTGTTACAATAATACTAGCTTTTATAATTGTCCACATATTTATTTACCTGTATTGAGATACTTATTTCTTCATATGGCTTCAAGTTACTGTCTAGTGTCCTTTTTATTTCATCTTACAGGACTCCCTTGAGTATTTCTTTCAGGGCAGGTCTAGAAGTAATGAACACCATCAGTGGTTGTTGTTTGGGAATGTTTTAATTTCTCCCTCACTTCTGAAGGACAGATTTGCTAGATATAGGATTCTTGGTTTACAGTTTATTTCTTTTAGGACTTTGAATATGTCAGCCCACTGCTTTCTGACTTTCAAAGTCAGTCTCTGATGCAAAATCTGTGTACTTTCTTTTAAGGTTCCCTTGTATGTAATGAGTTTTTTCTCTCTGATGCTTTCAAGATTCCGTCCTTGGCTTTTTGAAGTGTGATTATAACATATCTTGGTATGGGTCTCTAAGTTCACCTTACATGGAGTTTGTATTAATTAAATGTTTATATTCATGTCTTTCATCAAATATAGGACATTTTCAGCCATTATATCTTCAAATGTTAGCCATTAATATTTAATTATAAATTTTTCTGCATATGCATTTCCATTCCCCATGTTAATTTGCTCTTCTTAACAACAGTGCCAGGTACAAACACCTTATATGTTGCTGAGAAACACTGCTGCTCTTGATTTTAATACTTTCTAAAGCACAGGAAAGACTCCAGTGTATTTAACAAGGGAGAGATGGAACGAATTCAAAAAGCAAAATATACCAACTAGGAGAAGAGGAAACTACCCCTTTCTCATCATTCTTAAATTAATGTTTATCAAAATGATGTAAGACTTATTATTCCATGATTTAGACATTAATTACACTTTTAAGGCTTTTTTAAAAAATGAAAACATCTTGGATGTATTATATGAAGTGTGTCCTATTGTAGGCTGAGTGGAAAGCATGGATTACTGGCAGAGTAAAATAAGAAATTTTAAAGTAATGGAAGAACTCAGTTGATTTTATTTTAAAGTTTGGAATATATTCCCTGTCAGCAAAAGTGGTAGGTATATATGAAATGGAAACACACACACACACACACACACACTTTATACATTTATCCAACAATGGACACTTAAGTTGTTTCCATATTTTGGCTATTATAAATAATCCTGTACTGAACATTGGGGTGTACATATCTTTTCAAATTAGTTTTTTTTAAGATTTTATTTATTTATTTTTTTGGCAGAGGGGAAGGGAGAGAAATATCAATGTGTGGTTGACTGTCACACAACCCTCTCCTGAGGACCTGGCCTGCAACCCAGGCGTGTGACCTGACTGGGCATCAAACTGGCGACCCTGGGTCCGCAGGCCGTGCTCAGTCCACTGAGCCACACCTGCCAGGGCATCAAATTAGGGGTTTTTTTTACATCTTTTTAAAAAAATATTTTATTTATTTTTTGAGAGAGGGGATGGGAAGGAGAAAGAGTAGGACAGAAACATCAATGTGTGGTTGCCTGTCATGTGTCCCCTACCAGGGACCTGGCCCGCAACCCAGTCGTGCCCTAACCGGGAACTGAACTGGTGACCTTCTGCTTCACAGGCCCATGCTCAATCCACTGAGCTACACCAGCCAGGGCAAAACTAGTTTTTTAATAATATTCAGATCAATACCCAGGAGAAAAATTGCTAGTCCATCTCTTTACTTTCAGTCTATTTGTGTCTTTTAATCTAAAGTGTGTCTCAGGTAGATAGTATACATATATAATTTTTAATCCAGTTTGGTAATCTCTGCCTTTTGATTGAGTTGTTTAATCCATACATAGTTAATCTTGCTTTGATATAAGATGTTTTGAAATTTAAATTTCTAGCAAGTGAACTTGGCTAGTGTTATTTTAATAATGCTAATATGTATACATCATCCTGTACTTAGGTCTCAAATCATCAGTTTTCAACCCACACTTTGTTGCATGCCAATATTCTTTGCCAGAACTGAGTAAAGCAACAAAGAGGTGTGGAAAGAGGATTTGAACCACAGGGTCTCACAATGAGCAGAGGGGTGGTATGATTTAAGGGGAAAAAGAGTATTAAAAACTTCTAGATCCCCTTAGATTTACAGTAAGAAACAATGTTTGATGGACATTTGAGTTAATTTCAAGAGAATCCACTTCTAGACTTTAGCTGAAACAAACATAAAGACTGCTTTTGCTGGTTGCCAACCCAGTCAATTTCCATCTTCCTTTGAAATTCTCAACTGAAATTATTCTAGTAAACAGTTTCATAACTCCTACTTTTATTTCTCTTTCTTCACTTCATGCCCAACAGTAGCATTTCTGTTTTAATATGCCAAAAGTTTTTAAAATATATTTTATTGATTATGCTATTACACTTGCCCCATTTTCTCCTCCCCTTTATTCCCCTCTGCCCTTCGCTCCCCCACTAGCATTCACCCCCCCCTTAGTTCATGTCTGTGGATCATACATATAAGTTCTTTGGCTTCTCCATTTCCTATACTATTCTTAACCTACCCCTGTTTATTTTGTACCTACCATTTATGCTTCTTATTCCCTGTAGCTTTTCCCCCATTCCTCTGCCTTCCCCTCCCTGCTGATAACCCTCCATGTGATCTCCATTTCTCTGATTCTGTTCCTGTTCTAATTGTTTGCTTAGTTTGTTTGTTTTTCTTTTTTAGGTTCAGTTGTTGATAGTTATGAGTTTATTGTCATTATACTGTTTATAGTTTTAATCATCTTTTTCTTAGGTAAGTCCCTTTAACATTTCATATAATAAGGGCTTGGTGATGATGAACTCCTTTAACTTGGCCTTATCTGGGAAGCACTTTATCTGCCCTTCCATTCTAAATGATTAGACTAATCTTGGATGTAGGTCCTTGCCTTTCATGACTTTAAATACTTCCTTCCAGCCCCTTCTTGCCTGCAAAGTTTCTTTTGAGAAATCAGGTGACAGTCTTATGGGAACTCTTTTGTAGGTAATTGTCTCTTTTTCTCTTGCTGCTTTGAAGATTGTCTCCTTATCTTTAATCTTGACTAATGTAATTGTGATGTGCCTTGGTGTGTGCTTCTTTGGGACTCTATGAACTTCCTAGAAGTCTATTTCCTAGCTATATTGGAGAAATTCTCCTTGATTATTTTTTTCAAAAGCATTCAGTTTCTTGCTCTTACTCTTCTCCTTCTGGCACCCCTATGATTCAGATGTTGGAACGTTTAAAGTTGTCCTGGAAGTTCCTGAGCCTCTCCTCATTTTTTTGAATTCTTCTCCATTTCTGTGAGCATCCTGATTACTAGTGTTTTGAACTCTGCATCTGATAGGTTGGCTGTCTCTTCATCTCTTAGTTCTGTTTTTAGAGCTTTGATGTGTTCTCTCATTTGGGGCATTTTTTTTGTCTCTGCACACCTGTTATGTTGTAAGGGGCAGAACCTTAGGTATTCACCTAAGCATAGGTATTCCCCCACTGTATGTGGGGGAGGGGTCCAAGAGGGAACAATGCTACTTTCTTGGCTCTTGACCAGCTTTCAGTCACTTCCGCCACTACCCACAAGCAAGTTGGGCTCTTCTAGTGCTGATTCCCAGGTGGGTGGGTTTATGTACATACTAGGACCTTGTGGGTCTTTCCATTGAACTCTCCTGTGAGGCTGGGAGTTTCTCCCACTGCAGAATTTTACAGCCAGAGTTTGGGGGGCTTTATTTTCCTGTGCTGGAACCCTGGGTTGGGTGATCTGTCTTACTCTTCAGTTGTTCCTCCTGGTTTATCCCAGTACAAATGTGGGGCCACTGGGTTCTCCAGTCACCACCTTGTGGCAGGTCCTCTCCACCCCAGCTACCCATCTCCATCCCTCCTACCAGTCTGGATGAATGTTTCTTTAATTCCGTGGTTATGGGACTTCCATACAGTTTATTTTTCTGGCAGTTCTGGTTATTTTTTGTTTTTAAATTTGTTGTCCTTTTGGTTGTACAAGGAGGCAAAGTTTATCTACCTACAACTCCATCTTGGCTGGAAGTCCTAATATGCCAAAACTTTATGAAGATTTACTTTATATTTTATCTATAACCTAATTAAATCTGTTATCAAAATAGGTAAAGAAATAATTTAGTGCAGTGATTTCAGCACAGGATTGATTCCTTCTTCTTCCATAGATTAGAGGAGAATAGTTTTTAATTGAGCACAAAAGGATGTTCTCTCATTTATGTTTTATTCTTATCTTATAAGAAACTCTTGTATGAGATTCCAAATGAAGTAATAGTAATTGAGGTGGAGGTAGATATTAAGTGGCCATGTGTCCAAGATAAAAGCCTGAACTCTGGAAAAACCGTTGATAACCCAAACAATTATGCTTCTGATCTTTCTAATGGCCAGGATATCCAATACCAAAGCTTGATATGAGCTTTCCATTGGAGCATAGAGAAGAGGCATGGGTGAAGGAACTACAAGATTCCAAAGAAATTAAACAATTACTTGAATCCAAGATAGGTAAGTAATTATTCATTGATACTAGAGAAGAAAGAAAAGAAAAATCCAACCTTAATCAGGTTAAAGAGTTTTGGATTCTATTTAGGAATTTCTGTATCCATACTGGTGGTTTAATATAACTCTTCACCTTTTCTCATGTTCTTTTCTCTGTGGGGCACAATGACATGTACACTTTCTGTTTCTTCTCTCAGGTTTTGAGATTGGAATAGAAAATGAAGAAGATCTTTCAAAACAGAAAAAACTGGAAAATATGTACCCATTTCTTGTTACTTTAGAGGGTAATGCTCTCCATGGTACCAGTTTACAAAAAGACTATGTACAGTTAGAAAATCAATGGGAAAAACCCCCAGAGGATTTACAGACAGATTTGACAAAACTTGTAGATCATCATAATTCCTCAGGAGAGAAACCTGAGAGTTCTAGCTTGGAAGAACCTCTCACTAGCTTGGAAGAACCTCTCACTAGCTTGGAAGAACCTCTCAACCCTAAAACCCTTAAGAAAAAGAGTACAGGAGATAAACCTCACCGATGTTCTCAGTGTGGAAAATGTTTTGCCCGGAAGTCACAACTTACAGGGCACCAGAGAATTCATTCAGGAGAGGAACCTCATAAATGCCCTGAATGTGGAAAAAGATTCCTTCGTAGTTCAGACCTTTATAGACACCAACGACTTCATACAGGGGAGAGACCCTATGAATGCACTGTATGTAAAAAGCGATTCACTCGGCGCTCACACCTTATAGGGCACCAGAGAACCCATTCTGAAGAAGAGACATATAAATGCCTTGAGTGTGGGAAAAGCTTTTGTCATGGATCAAGTCTTAAAAGACATCTGAAAACTCATTCGGGTGAAAAACCTCATAGATGTCACAATTGTGGAAAAAGTTTTAGTAGACTGACAGCTCTTACTTTGCACCAGAGAACTCACACTGAAGAGAGACCTTTTAAATGTAATTATTGTGGGAAAAGCTTTAGACAGAGACCAAGTTTAGTTATTCATTTAAGAATTCATACAGGGGAGAAGCCATACAAATGTAGTCATTGTTCTAAAAGCTTCAGGCAGAGAGCAGGCCTTATTATGCACCAAGTCACTCACTTTAGAGGACTTCTTTAAGAATTATTAAAGGAAACAGGTCATGCAGAAATTAGCACTAACTCAGAAAAAATCTTAACCTGAAGCAGTCTGTTTGTCTTGAAAGAATCTTTTTTTGTTGTTTGAGCTTATAAGAACAGCTTTTTAAAAAATATCTTAACCCATCTTCCAAGGCATGTGAATTCTAGAGTGTCTCCCTACTCTTGCAACTTCCCTAGATTTGATATATTTTATCTTTACAACTCTTATTTTTCAATGACAATGAAAATTTTTGTGTCCCAAGCCAACTGTAAAGCATATAGGGTAGCGTCAATATAATGGATAACCACATCTATCTGATATATCTATTATAGTAGCACCATAATTATTCTGCTGTCATTATTAAAGGTGGTTATATACCACCTTTATTTGTGTCCCAAGGGTAAGAAAGGAAACCGTGTATTTTGTCAAATAATAAAAATGTGTCAGGGACATGTGAATAAAGAGGATTTCATTTGCCTCGTAAAAACTGAGTTATTTCCATTGAAAATTTTTATGTTAAAGGAATTAAGATTTTAACCTTGTGAATTTTGCAAAGTTTACTAGTTTGCTTATTTGGCTATTTGGGGTGATGCTGCTTGGAGCTATTAATTTAATGATTTATTTATGTCGAAGAATCCATTCGACAGTTGAAGTCATACAAATAGAATGTAATTTGGTGTAGATAATTAAGGAGCCAATGTCCATTGCTTTTTATTCTCCTTTAGTATTCAACCATATGTTTCTCAGTGCTTTTAAAATTTTATTCATTCTTTAATTTGGTGTCTCCCTAAGTGTGTGTTATAGAACTCTTAATTCTATAAGATATTCTACAAATAAGTTTTGGAATCCCTTCCTGCTCTTTCTGCTTTCTAGATTCACAGTGCATGTCAACATATAAGAATCTCTGACAGGTCCTTCAGTAAAGACAGAGAAAGCACCTCTCTTGGCTTAATGTTTTACAGACCTGTTTGACCCCAGAACCTTTTTTCATGTACACTCAAATAACAACCCACAGAGCTAGTATTCTGCAAATATTCCTTGGAATACATTACCTTTAATATATATTTCTATAGTTATCAATATAGTCTTATTGTTCCCAAGCCTAGTTATCTTCATTCATTTGAAGGGTGTTATGAAAAATTATTTACACATATATGTTTTTTATGTAAGACACACATGAACATACACATACATTTTAAGGCGATGAGGGTCACTAATTCAGATACTTTATATATTGCTCAGTGATTCTCAACCTCTTTTTACTTATAATCACATACCACACATTGCTACTTATATAAATGTTCTCATATAATCGTAGTAATGACTCAAATTTCTGTAGCAAGGGAAGAACTCTCTTTGTCAATTAAAGTTGTTAATACATGAAAATATTTGTTCAGCCTAGTTCCTTGTTATAAAATACAGGAAATAGGACATTCAAGTATTTGACCTTTATGAAGATACCAGTCTTCCTTTCCTTAAACTAGAATTAGGGAAAGTATATGCTTTCTGTTCCACAGAAGTTCTTAGAAGTCGTACTTAATATAATATAAGTATTTGGGGGGTATCTACTTTGTGCCTAACTAGTCCTGTTCTAGGCTTAATGGAAACTAGTAAAGAAACTAATTCATGGGTCAGATTCATAAAGAGTTTATAATATCTTTAGTTAAACAAAAGTTGGGAAATAAATGGAGAACAATGCAAGAGAGATTGTATTAAGTGCCAAATCATATCAAGTGCTAGAGCCAGGATGTGTCTTTTAATTCTTGTCATCTAGGACCCTGTACGATGCTGCTATAAGTGTGGGGTTAAAATTCAGATCCTAGTAGCAATAAGATGTAACATGGGAGGAGTCTGAATGTAGAGATGAAAAACACTGAATGTAATGGCTTCTCTTTTTCTCTCTTGTGGAATTGCATTCCAACTAGAACAGTGCCTTAAAATGGATGTGCCCAACTGCTCTGTATCTATGCAATATTTTAATAAAGTGGAAATATATATATATATGCTCTTTCTGCTTCAATCACATTAACTAATTGTTTGCACAACTTAGAGCTGCTTCCATGAGCAGTAGCAACAGGCACCACAATTGACTCCTGTCCCACACCCTAACCTAAGGTGGAATCACTTTACTCTGCAACCATGGTGCTGGATTTACCCATCATTTTTAGCATTTAATACAGTCAATTCTATCTAGCAGGGTTAGTTGCAATCATTGTATGAGCTATATCCTCCCATTCATCTATGTCATAAACACACATGCTTGGGTTTTACAGGTAGAGAACATCCATTATTTATTTATTTGTTACAGTGTGCTGTGTATAATAATCACACACACATATGTATAGCACTGAATCAAGAAACATGTGAAGTAGTTCTTAGAAAAAGATAAAACAAACATTGTATGGATGTGCCTAATTATACTTCAAAAAATAAGGGCAAAATACAATACCTATCTCCTAAGTACTGTGAAGGGCAAAAACAGTACCTGCCTTATAGGTACTATGAATATTAAATGAAATATATTTTGTTCAGCTCTACACAGTGTAAGCTTTCAATACAAATCCAGCATATTGTAATATTGTATTTTAATTCTTTGTTGTTTAAGTGATAAAAGGACTTAAGGCTATGGATTTTCCTCTATGGCTTTGGTCACATTTCATACTTTATATATGCATATAAACATTTATATATATAAGCACATATATAAATGTTTATATACATTTATATACATATACACATATATGTATATAAACATTTATATAAATGTATATAACATGTATAAATATATGTATATGTGTATAAACGTGTATATAAACATTTATAAATGTATATATGTATATAAACATGTATGTGTATATAAACATATATATAAATGTTTATATACATAGAATAGAAAGTGACTCACATGGTTATAAAAATTGAGAAGTCCCATAATCTACTGTATTCAAGCTGGAGAAAAAGGAAAGCTGATGATATACTTCAGTCTTGAATCTGAAGACCTGAGAACCAGGAGATCTGATGGTATAACTCAACCAAAGGTCTGAGACCTGTGGGGGTGGGGAGGGTATAAATCACAAAGTCCAAAAGTCAGAGAACTAGGACCTCTGATGTCAAAGGGAAACAAAAGATGAAGGTTCCAACATGAAGTGAGTGAGGGAATTCACCCTTCCTCTGCCTTCGTGTTCTATTCTGGCTCTCAAGGGATTGGATGATGCCCCCAACACACATTTGGTGAAGACAGATCTCTGTAATCAATCCAATGTTAACTTCTTCTGGAAGTACCCTCAGAGACACCCAGAAATATTTTCCTAGCTATCCTGGCTTCTCTTAACCCAGCCAAGTTTGTAAATAGAATTAATCATCACAGGGTTATTATTGAAAACTTCAAAATTGTTTGTTATTACAGTTTTCATTAATACTAACTCTGACCCAAGAGCTGTACCATATTGCTGTTTTCCGCTTAATTTTTGTTTTGCCTGCATTGTGATTAGAAAATGAGGTTCATTCTATTTTTTATTTTAAAGTTTATTTAGTTTTTTAAAAGACATTTGTTAAAATTTTAGTATCCTAAAGACCCTAGGAAATAAGGGTTCTATTTGTAAGGCACAAATTTAGGATACAGTGTTGGACCTCTCAATTAAGTTAATATCATTTAAGAGTCTCCTTGGTGCTTTTGAAGGGGCACTGACCCAGAATAGATTGCCCTGCTCCCCATCTGAATGTTTGCATTCTTGTATTCTCCATTCTCCTCTTAAGACTTTTTTAAAACATATTTATGGATGTTTTACAGCGATTATTAATAGCTTCTAAGCTATCAAAGCTGGCAGTAAAAGCAGGAGGCTAAAGGACCTAGGAGAGACTGAGCTTCTCCATATCAAGTTGAGAAAGCTCTTTCTTGGGATTCCATAGTAGTCTGTCCTGAAAGCAGAGAGAACCTGCCATGGGCACTTTGAGATTTCTGCAGCCATGGTTCTGAATCAGCAGGGATTGTTTCCTAGTGAGCTGAGGAGATTGCCTAGGTTAAAGTCAAGGTAATCAAGGAACATACAGGTGAATCAGCTCCTAAGAGGCTGTCAGGTGGGGGAGGAGAGACATTATGCTCTGCCCTCTTGGCACCTGTAGTCACCATGACTTTCTGAAGAGAAATATTCCAGCACCTCTAGGAAACTGCATTGTCTGTTCTTGAAACCCTATTTCATTTCTAGTTTAGTCATATAGGCTGAACATGCTTATAAAGAAGCAAAGCTCACACTTAAACTTTGGGCAGCCCCTGCTTTTTTTTCTAGTCCTCTGTAACAGATATAGAACAGATGGGAAAGAAGCTCATTTTTTAGTTTCTCAATATTAGTAATCTGTTTACTCAGCCCCTTGATTCTGCAATTGTAACTACTGGGATTGGGTCTGGTCAATTCTTACCAGCATGATAGGTTACTCTCTATCCAGCATTGTGAGACAACACTTCTCAGACGTCTGGCGAGGCCCAAGATTACATTTTTAACAGTCCAAAGGTATTAAAATTTTATGTCTACTTCTGAATGAGAGAAGCCCATCTCAATATCCAGGAGACATGATACACTGATTTGCAATTTTATCTCCGAGGATTCCCTGGAAACTTGGTTCATATATTAGAGGAGCACTTTACATTAAAAAGTTATGTAACTACTGAGTCACTGAAGAATTCCTCTAGATTTTGATCTGAAATAAACAGTATGAGTAGTCCATTTTGACTGTATGCAACCTCTTACTGCTGCACTCAGACCCTCTTTTCAACAGGGCAATGACATATTCCATACATGATCTTTCCTTTCCTGGATACTCCTACCACTATCTTCACCTTTCAGTATGGCCTGAACTTTGAAGTGCTATGTTCTGAAGGGAAGAATGTCCAGCATGAATAATATTGTATACTTCATTTCAGACACTTTTATATCCCTTAAACTGCTCACTTCTTCACACTCCCTTTCAAAACAAAATACCTTTTCTCTCCAGTCTCACCAAAGCCCCTGTTCTGACTTCTACATAAACTGACCCAGATTTCATGCTTCTGGAGAAGTGAAAAGCATGAAATAAAGTAAACCACCTTTCTAAAGGCAACTTTGGCCTTATCTTTCAACTGCTCCAGCTGCTGAAGAATTATGGAAGTTGAATAAATCTCTCTGTTGTGTTCATAACACTTTTGCATGAGGGTGATGAATTCAAACCAAGCTTCTCTCTCCACCTCAGCAATCTTCAGTTTCCATGTAGATCTCTTTCTTGATACACTGAGTTCTGAACAATAGAATCCCAAAGCTTTGTAGTCTGGTTTCCCCTTAAAGGGCATAATCTTAACTCTCACATCACTACATCCTGATTCACCTCTTTAAAGGCCCCTGAGTTTAAGACCATCAAGAAGCTCTTGGGTTAATATAGCTCTACCAATGTCCCATACATAAGGAAAGAGGTCTCCCATATAGGTAAAAGTGGGACTGAAACCTCAGTTCTTCCATGTGATGCCAGAAAGCCTCAATACAAGTCATAGTAAAGGAGCATGTTGATACAGGATTTAGCTGCCTAATATCTTTAGTATGGAGAAGTTGTTTTGAACTCAAGGAAATGGTTCACTCTCCCATGATCTGGAGAGTGCTGGGCTTTCAGTTGCATTTACAGATGTCAATTAGGAATCAAAGTTCTCCAGCCTGGAAAAGGGTTAAGACACAGCATGAAGCTGACCTTGGCAAAAGTTTGAAAGTGAGATAAGTATGAGGATGTTCAGTGGAGTAAGTTTAAGGTTTATTGTGAGACAACAAGAATGTGAATACCTGGAACTGTTAGTGGTCAGGATGTTACAGAACTCAAATGGTTCACCACTTGGGGTGTTCCATTTAAGAATGAGACTTGACTGTCATTAGGTAGTTTTATTTACTTGCAAACAAGCAAAGGAGATTGGGGATTAACATCCAAAGCTCTGTCTCTCCAAAGGGAAGTTTAGCCATTGCTCATCTATACTATTTGGTTAATTACATGTTGATTTCTTTTTTTGCAGTTGGCTAAACTCATCCAGTTGTGATTCCAGTCAAGTTCATTGGTTGCAGCTTCATCTGCAAACTACTGGACTACATTTTAGCATTTAGCAAAAATAGCATTTGGTAAGAATCTCCAAAACCTTGAGACCCTTGTCCTATCTAACAGGAGACAAGAAACATTAAGAAAAAGACTCAAATGATGTTAGTGCCAGTGTGTGGCAATGGCATAAAAAAATGAGAGCTACAGGTCCTGGCTGGACAGAGAAGTCAACTTCACAACAGAGGAGCCTGGGGGCCACATGGGGCCATGGGGCTTACTGCAATAGGATGCGGAGTGGTGGTGAAGCTCCCAAGGGGTGGTGGGCTCTTCATCTCCACCCCCTCCTATCTGTAATCAGTAGAGTGGTCTACTACAGAAATTACATCATAGAGGGTTATATGAAGAAGAAAAACAAGGAGAAAAGCACTGATTACAAATGTCTTGATAATGAGAAAATGTGGCAGGAAAAAATATATTAGGAAAAATGACCATGGAAATAATTGAATCCCTGCAGGATGGAACAAACTCTGTTTTAGCTCAGGTTTCTGTAAGTACATTAAGTGCTAGAAGTGGGTCCCTAGTAGTCTAGTGTAGTTGCCATCAGGCCAAACCCTACATGTCCAGAGAGCAATTGAGGCACCACAAACATCAGTTATTCAGTTACCAAAAATATAAATGTTTATGAAGCAGCAATTGGAGACAGATGAATCTGGAGAATCAGAAGGTATATCAAATCTCATAACTGTAGAGAAATCATTTCACGAAGACCCTTTATTTTAAAAAAAAAGGTACTGAATTAACTTTTCTCTGATGTGCCTGGTGTTTGAAGAAGAAAAATCAGAAGAACCAGGAATGCCACCTAACATTGTTACCAAGGCAACACCAATGCGCATATATCCCTCTAGCACAGGACAGTACAGTAGTATGTATGCTGCAGTTCAA